CAAATCTACCCCTCTGTTCCTCCTTCCTCCTCTCCTGTTTCCACAGCCAAGGAGTTGCTCAGGGTGTTATAACAGTCCTTATGGGAAAAGACCAAATAGTACCATTTGATTTTGATAAGGTCTTACTAGAATTAAGACTTATTGACTAATGAGTAGAAATAATTTTGAGGCTGTAATGAGGCTGATTGTGCTGGTGATCCCTCTGACATAGACCAATACTCACTGTGAGCCATTTCATTGAGGTTGTTTTAATATTGGCCCCATTACTGTAAGCTGATTATAAAGAATAGACAATTAGATACTGGTTAGGTGCTGATGCACCCAAATGTTGTTTAATCTTTTTCTACTAATGAAGAGATGTCCCATCCCTCTACCAGGACTACAGAACAGCTCGAGTCACGCTCAGCCCCGTGCGGCCGTCTGCTTTATTGTGAAGTGGTTTCTGTTAAACAGAGGCTACTGAGATAAAATACTTCAGCTGATTTGCTGTGCTGAGCTGTCCCTGAAGGACTGTAAACAGCATGGATCGTGTTAAACCATTTAATCTTATTTTGTCTTTAGGCAACTTCGGAATGGACCCTGGATTACCCACCGTTTTTCGCTTGGTTTGAATATGCACTTTCGCACGTTGCCAAGTACTTTGACCCCAAGATGTTGGTTATTGACAACCTGAATTACACCAGTCACGCAACAATCTTCTTCCAAAGATTTTCTGTCATCTTTACAGATATCCTTTTCATATATGCCGTTCGTGAGTAAGTCTTAATGTTCGAATTTTGGGGACTGGGGGTAATCTTTAATATATGGAATTTGTGTAGAGTAACAACAAAAACTGATTTGTGCCAGCAAGCTTGTAAATGCAAGGAAATAGCAAAGTTGCTTCAACCTGTTCAAGGAGAAATTTGGAACCCGCTGCTAAGCACAAGAGAACTTTTTGTTGTTCTTGGAGATGCTGTCGCTGTGCCTGTGGTCAGGTTTGTGTGCATTCAGGCACTGGCTGCTGTTCCACACTTGTGCACACCTAGCTGTGTTTCCCTGTTGCTTTGCTTATACTCTCTTCATCTAGAGTAGAAGCACAAAGGAAACTTGTGACAAAATGCCGGTATCATCAAGTATGCTACGTCACTCCACTGGTTTTGGTGGTCTTGATGATAAACTTGATTATTCCAAGTCTACCAACATTAAGCTTGTGTGTTTTCAGTGGGCCCTGACTTTGTGAAGAAGTGTTAATCTTGCATCTGAAGAGGAGAGGGGGAGAGATGTTTTGAGCACGATGCTGCCGAGCTTAACCTGTAACGGTCCTACCTCGTTTTACTCTGCTCAAAATCTGGGTGGAAAGTTCTCCGCTGCACTGGAGCACTCCCTGAGCTTGTTCATGCACTTTCTTTGTGAAGCGGGCTAGCTTTGCCTTGTGGCTTTTTTCCTTTTATTGTTTTATTTATATTTAATTTCCTTTTATTGTCATAACCAACAGGTTATGACAACTATACGGTTATTATTGAATGTAAGACTTGAACCTGGGACTGAGTTACTTAACATGAGCTTTAGCATGTGGAACATACTACAGCTATTGAAAAGTAAAATCCTTTTTTTGCTGAACTTTATTCATGACATTGTCTTCCCTTGATGAATTGAGCAAGAATTTTGTCATTGCCTTCCATCCTAATAAAACAGTTAACTTCAGGTTCAGTGCACTTCTCAGCTCTTAAGTTTTTGTTGACTGTTTCAGTTCAGACTTCTTTCTCTTCTGCTCTTGTTCAGGTGCTGCAGATGGGTAAATGGAAAACGAGCTGCAAAGGATATCCTGGAAAAACCAACGTTTATTCTTGCTGTTCTGCTCTTGTGGAATTTTGGGTTGTTAATTGTGGATCGTATCCTTTCAACCGTTGTGGCTCGTTCGTGTTTTGCTTTTAACAGCCTGTTACAGCATGTGGTACAAACCCATGAATATTGTTATTATTGCTGTCCCAGCAAGTAATGCTACTGTTTGTGTTTCTGAGGTTAGTTGAATAACTTCATGTTTTCATTAGAATTATTATTAGGCAAAATGGAAATTGTTTGGGTTTTGGTCTGATTTGCCAGAATCAGGAGGACCAGTCTGGCAGCAACATGCCTGTTCCTGCCGTCTGCTCCCCCTCTGCCTGCATACAGAAAGAGTAGCAAAGAGCCTCTTTTTTCGGGGTGTGGTTCAGAGTTTGTCCTATGGCAAGGGAAGTCTTACAAGTGCTTTATGTCCAGGCTGTATTCAACTGGTTAATGTTACATGAGAATTAGCAAGGTTTTTTTTGAAGTCCAACGATTGCAAGTCCATCTTGACACAATGTGCGTTGATGTCGCTGAGGAGGGGGCAGAGAGGGAAAACAGTAATTCTTTTACAGGAAGGACCAGTTTTGTCTGTTCCAGTCCTTGTCTGAGTTGCCTGCTTAAAGGTGTAGGTGATAAGTGAGGACTACTGACTCCATTAACCGATGTGAACCAGAAACCAGTATTTAAAAATTCAAAAAGTGGAGAATTAACGTTTTAGTTGTTTTGCTTTGTGTCATATATGTTGCATGATACATGTGTGGTCAGGTTGTTATGGTTTGTTTCATCGAGATAATGTACTAGTAGTAGTAGACTTCGTGTCTGTGCTGACAGGTATGGTTAAGTAACGACTTCATGTCTGTGTAGAGTGAATTTAAGGTTACTTTCTTCATTTAAGTTCCATTTTAATCTGACTTTATTGTTTATAAGTTCGAGTCTTCCCCAGAAAACAGGCAGCAGTAAAGAAACCTTGCTTTATTCCTTTCTTGACTCCAGTCCAGATATCCACTTTCAGTACAACGGCTTCCTGTTCGGGCTGATGCTTCTCTCTGTTGTCCGACTCTGTCAGGTAAACTGGAGTGGCTCTTCCCTGGTGTTGCCCTGTGTATTTTAGGTGCATTAATTACCCACAACGCGAGCAGCCCAACGAAGTGATTTGAGAGTGGCTGGAAGTTGAAGCGTGCCGAGCTGGATGTCTAATTATTTGTTTACTTTGGGGAAAAGAGGAGAGCTTGAAACTCGCTATAATTACTTGCTGATGCTGCAGCATTTGCGGTTCCCTGTGAGAAAGCTAAATTGTCTTATACCTCAGCAGCGTGCCATGGCTTCCTGCCATCTTCTTCCAAGGCACCAGTCCTTAGAAAACATTACCTCTGAAGCTGTGGGGAGGTGAGGCCTTTCCCAGTTTTCCAAGTATCACGTGATGATGTAGTTTCCTCCTCACACCTGTTGAGCCTAACGCTACCGAGTTTGTAATTTGAAGTAAATACTCCTTTGTTTTTATGCCCATGATAAATGTTTTCACACCTTAGGAGTACAACAGAGGACCATTAAAAGTTAGTACAAAGGGAGAACGAGAAGAAAAGCTTGGGTTTTGTTTTGTTTTTCCTTTAGAAAAGATATCTGGAGGGCGCTCTTCTTTATGCTGTTCTTCTGCATTTCAAGCACATCTACATGTATGTGGCCCCAGCATATGGCATTTACTTGCTGCGATCCTATTGTTTTACTGCAAATAACGCAGGTAGGATGGGTTTTTCCACGCTCGCTTTTGGGGGATTGTGTTAATTAGTGGGGCCTGGGGAGTACACAAGACATGCAGATACCATTGGAATGAAATGGCTGTGGGTCAAACAAAAATTCTGCTTGGGGAGCAGAGTTAGTAAGAACTTTAAAGATATTTGAAATTTATTTATGTAAAATTTGTGTTTCTAAGGAGCTCTTTATTGAGAGAAACCAACATGAACAAACTGCAGGTGGCAGTTTGAAGCTGTAAGAATTATTCTGGTTATGAAATGATTAGATAGTATCAGAAGCTATCTCAAAGTCCTCCTTTGAGTTTCTCTCCACTTCTTAGCACTGAAAAACATGTTTGATGTTCCTCACAGAAGGCGTTTCTCTTGAAAGAGGAAATACTGAAAGTTTGTGTAATGGAGGAGCTGCAATGTGGAAAAAGTAAAGGCAACCTGATTGTTGAAGGAGGCAACTGAATGTATTGACATAAAATGCTGTGTGCAGCTTTTAGATAGTGCTGGCAAGTCGTCGTTAGTGTGGAATGCTTTGTCTTCCTGTCCATTTGCCACAGATTTCATAAAATCACGGAATGGTTTGGGTTGGAAGGGACCTTTAGAGTTCAGCTAGTCCAACCCCCCTGCAGCGAGCAGGAACATCTTCAGCTAGAGCAGGTTGCTCAGAGCCCTGTCCAACCTGACCTTGAATGTTTCCAGGGATGGGGCATCTATCACCTCTCTGGGCAGCCTGTGCCAGTGTTTCACCACCCTGGTTGTAAAAAAAGTTGTTCTTTAATATCTAGTCTAAATCTGCGCCCTTAGTTTAAAACCATTACTCCTTGTCCTGTTGCCACGGGCCTTATTACAAAGTCTGCCCCCATCTTTCTTACAAGCCCGCTTTAAATATTGAAAGATTGTGATAAGGTCTCCCTGGAGCCTTCTCTTCTCCAGGCTGAACACCCCCAACTCTCCCAGCCTGTCCTCACAG